ATAAATCTGGACCGTCCATCGCGATGCGATCTGGATCGTCCGTGCGTGATCAAATCTGAGCCGTCCACGTGCACCTTTGATCTGGGCCGTCCGTGCGCGCAGATCGCCAACGTGTCTCCGTCTCGCGTGGCTTCCTGCGTCAGCGTCCTTACCACGCGGCGTGTCCTGGTTGGCCGGGGCTGCTGACCGGGCTGTTGTCGTGGCTGCTGATATGACACTATTTTTCTAAATTGCGTTTTGACCTCCGGTTTTCGATTTTTTTTTTCAAAAACACCCCCATAATCCAAATTTTCACCATTTTTCCCTAAAATCAATTTCAATTAAATCCCAAAAATAATTTTACCCTATTTTATTATTATTATTATTTTTATTTCTATTAATTTAAATTAAATTAAATCAAAACCTTATAAATTAAATATTAAAATAGAAAAAAATTAAAAAAAAATCCAATAAAATTAAAATAAATTAAAAAATAAAAATAAAATAGAATACAAATTTTTGGGTGTTACAGCTATACTTCAACGGTTACGAGATTAAATTTTATTGAGAACATAAAATTCTCAACTTTTTAAAAGTATTATGAGCTGATAATGATTAATTCATTAGTCAATAATCGTTAAATAGAACACAAATATCTTAATACTTAATTTAGTAAAATCGAAGTTCTATTATCTATAATGGATGTCGTGTGTTAAAAACTCGATATAATTTTTATATATTTAAAATAAAAGATTAAGGAGTTTAATAGGTATATAAATATCGTCAAATGATATCCTCTATTTTATTTTACAAATTATTTTTTTATATATTTTTTAAATATAGTTAAGGATATAGTTATTATAACTATTTTAACTGAAGGAGTCTAATCACCACAAAATATTAATCTCAGTATAATCGTACCATTTACGAATTAAATTTTTTTTAGTTTGAGGATCAAATGAATTCTACAAGTAGTAGTATCCTTAAAAGAAAAAAAAAAACTAAAAATCATGTTAGTTATATTTTACTTATGATTTGAACAAATTTAATTATTATTTTAATGTATTATTTTTACTTAAATGGGTCAATAAAATAAAAAAAAAGAAAACCATGGAACATTTGGGGAATTAGTTCATATAACTTAAATGAGCAATTTAAGAATTCAATAACTAATATATATATATAACTCTAAAAAAAAAATTAAACATAAAAAATGTTTCAACTAAAAAATACTTTTTATTAATAATTTCATATTCATATAAAATTATATACATTCTTCATTTGTCAAGTCATCAAAATTAATAACATTATATACATAATATGTATTCCGTCTAATAATTCAATAATTATTTATGTATGGTACACATGGGGTATAGTTGGATTTTATGGGAATGCACATGTTAACATAAAAAAAAATAAAAAACATAGTTGATTTAGTGTAAAAAAAAAAAAAAAA